GATATAAATAAAATAGTTTTTAACAGTGGTATTCCACTGGTAGTGAAAAAAGTCTTCATAATGAGATCCACTGAATGAATCTCAGAGATGACAGGATTTACTCCTGTGTAATATTAACCTAGGTATAATTATACCATTCATAGACAAATGTGTATTTTGGATAAATGTCAGCATTAAATAGGATTTTTAAAAATAAGGGTTTGCAATGGAGTTCAAACAAGTCTTCAGTTTTTCTCTCAGTAGATTTTATTCATTTTAGAAATGAATATGTGTACTTATGCCAGAAGTTTAAGTTGGCCTACACCCTCAAAATTTGTCTTTCAATTCTCAGCAATTTATTTACTTTTTCACATTTGCAGTAACATAGTCTGAACAAAACAATGGCATTTCCCGATTGGTTAGTTAAATTTCTCACTTTCCCCAATTTTACCTCCTGCCCTGTTCTTACCGTCTTTTCTATTCTGGCTGAGGCTTCAGAATGCCCTAGTTTTACATGTTCTTAGCCTCTTTAAAGTAGAAGACAGAGCATGTAAAATAAGAGGCATGCTTCTGTGATCACAGGTGATGAGCTTTTCCTGCAAGAAAATACATGGGAATAGTGAGGAGGTGAAGGGAACCTTTGCAGTAGCCACTGGTCATTCTCTCCATTCCTGGCCTGGTATGTGCAGCAAGGAGCTGCAGCAGTGACTTACCATTGCTCCACCTGAAGGAGCAGTCCAGAGTGGCGGCCTGTTGTCCTCTCGGAAGTGGGCAATTTTACATTGCTTTTGCCAGAAGCACCCACCATGCTTGGTCCAGTCAGTTTGACTACAACAGCGTGAATGTATAGTGGGAGCATCCTTTAGAATGCCACCAGTTTTCTAGCACAGATGCAATACTTGCAAACATAGTCTACCCAGGTGCAAAATGGGCCATGCTGAGACTACAGTAAGATCCCAGCATCTTAGTGACCTGCATGTGTTAGGTAAAAAAGTAAATGCAGATTTGGAGACAATCATAATTGGCTTCAAAAACATATTTTCATGATCTTGTTCATATGACTTTATAGCCATCTCAAAGATTAAAACCCAGATTTGCAACCTGGAGTCAATTCTTACCTAAAATTTTTTTATGATGAAAAATTGCATGTTTCTACTGAAAAGAAGTTTAATTTTCTAAGAATAGAAATTTCAAGTAAAAATTACATACTTCATGACAGAAAATATTTCTAAGGTAAATGTTATAAATAGGTTTTGAGTACTTGTTATGGGCAAAATGCTGACAGGTTTGCAGTGAGTCCAAAGTTCACTCACTCTGAAGACTTTTATTAAGCCAGCATTGCCCAGGCTAGTTCCCCATGATACAGTCATACATGGTGAATAAATGGAGATTTTCCTTAAAGGAGCTTGTTAGCATGGCTGAGGAGAAAGACACGCAGACAGATAATTACAAAACAAAATCACGTGAAAGGGCATATTACAAAGCCTTGGGTAGTTAGGGTAGACTTTCTGGAGACAGTTCTATTGGAACTGTGGTCAAATTTATGTAGGAATTGGCCAAAGGAAACATGTTATTGGTGATGGGAGCATTGAAATATATTCCAGGTGGAGGATGTCACATGTGCAATCAAGAAAGAATGGGTTGCAAGTGTTTATCACAGAGTGACCTATTCCATAAAACACTAATCCCATAGAGGAGGGCTCCACCCTCATGACCTCATCACTCCCAAAGGTCCCACCTGCAAACACTTTCTCTTTCGGATTAGAGTTTCAACATAAGAATTTGGGGTGAAACAAGCATTTAAGTTTTTGCAGTATGGTTTATATACCAACAATGACTAACAGTCACAGCTTTGGACTACTATCTTCCCAGGTTTAAGCCCAGTAGAAAAGAGGGTCCCTTCTATGGTTATGGGATAGCAATTTGCATTGGCTCTGGCTCTGAGTAGGTCATTTGCCTCTGTTAAATAATAACTGCTGTCAGGGGCATCTGGATACTGAATGGTCAAACTAGGAAATACCTTCCACCTTGGAGCAGAGGTTGGACTGGAGGCAGTTATGCACTTATAAATTGGCTTTAAAGATTAGAAAGAAAAAAAAAGGGCTTTTTAAAAGCCTTAGTGTTTGTGGCATTTATTAGTTTCTTTAGTATAAATACTTCCATCGTGGCTAATTTGAAGATGCCTGACTTGCATGATTCCTGAATGTTTAACAGTCAGCTCCTGTAGGCCAGTTGCAGCAGCTCCAGCACACTCTGGGATGAAGGAAGAGCTGCCAGAATCACAAGGACTGCAGGTGAGGGAGGGCATGGTACTTTAAAAGGAAATCAAAATGGTAGCATAAAGAGAAGTGGTGCCAGGTACCCAAAGCCAACAAGTAAGTTTGTACTATTCCATTTTAGAATTTGTACATATTCTTATGTAGTTTCTTTGGATAACAGTTTTAAGGACCATATAATATTCCATTCTGTGAAAGTTTACCTTTCTTTTACTGTTGAATGTTTAAGTTTGTAGAATTCTAAATAAAACTTCATTGGACATGTCAATGCCCAAAGCCATTTTGTACACTTAGCACAGGTTTGTTGAGATAGTTTGCTTATGTGCAATTACTGTATTCAAGGAATGGACCTTTTAATGCTTTTAATATATATTCTCTAATAGATGGACAAAATAGTTTTACCACTTTATATCACTCCCATCATTGTAGGAAAGTAATTATTTCATTATATTGTCATTAAGTATAATTAAAAATAATTTATAGGAAAAAATTGAATATCATTTTGTTTAGCATTTGTTCAAATTTCTAAAAATGCAGACATTTCAATGTTCTTACAATAGGCATTCTTCTTATATTGAATTTTCCTCTCATTTCCCAGTTGTGTGTTTATATGTATCTTACCATACTATTGTCATAGGAATTTATCTTCTTTTACTTAATTAACACATAGAATAGTTAATATTGGAAATTCTAGTCCAGAGTACAGCTTGATAAATGTTGATGGGGTATTTTATATAAAACTCTGATTCTGTATAATTGAGGGTAACACTGGCTGATCTAATAGATAAATCCTAATATACAGTGAGTCAGCACAATAGAAATTTATCTCTTGCTCATGTTAGTGTTTCATAATGACTTTTCCCAGTTAAACATCTTCCTCAAAGTCATTTAAGGACAAAACATCATTCTCTCCCATGATTTTCCTTTTCCCTTGGGCTATCCACACAGCTGTTTCCATTCAGTGGTGGAGGGGTGAAAGGGAATAGGGATGAAATTTGGGAGAATTTTATGGCATCCTGGAAGTGCAGCAGTCCTTACGCAAACATTCCACTGACTCAAACTCAATCCCCTGGCAACATTAATTGCAAGGAAGTAAAGAAAAAGGATGTGGTGAGCATCTATCCAGTATTTGCCCAAACTTTTGTATCTGTAATGGAAAAATGTTTTCAAACAGTCTGATTTTGTTCCATACTACATAAGTGTACCTGGGAATAAATCACTGTCATTACTGGGATTATGTACAAGATTTAAATATGGAATGGGAAACTTAGAAGTATTGATAAGAGATATATAGATTTTTAAATAGAGCAAAGTGGTGGGGAAATTTTTTTGAATAGTCATTGAATGGCTTTTAGTTTAGACAATGCAAAAAAAGTGGAGTTTGTTGAACAAAGTGACTTTGACAAATAACTTTTGATTAGGTAGCATTCAGTGTATAAGAAAATTAGTATAATCAGCTCAACTAGTAAACTGGCTTATTATAATGTCATTTTAATTAAATATTTTGTGAAAAAGCTGTTTATGGATTGGGGAAAATCTTTGCAAATCACATATATCATGAAGGTTAATATATAAAAGAACAATCTTTACAACCTGATAGCAGAAAAACAATGGGCAAAGGTCCTGAATATACATTTTTCCAAAGGAGACAGAAAAATGTCCAACAAGTATATGGAAAGGTGCAGATCATCACTAACCATCAGGGAATTCAGACCCACTATGAAATATCACCAAAAAGCCCTTAGGATGGCTGTTCTGAAGATAAGGGAAGTATTGGTGAGGATATAAAGAAAGGGAAATGCTTATACTGTCGGTGGGAATTTAGATCAGTTCAGGAATTTTGGAAAATGGTTTGGAAGTTTCTAGAGAAATTAAATACAGGATGACCATATGACCCAGATATCCCTCTTCTGGGTACACCCAAAGGAAATAAAATCACTACCTCTTGAAGATATTTGCACTGCCATATTTATTGCAACATTATCAATAATAATAGCCAAGATATGGAAACAATCTAAATGTTCCATCAAAGGATGAATAGATTTAAAAAAACTGTGGATGTATGTATATACTCAGTTGTATATGCACATAAAAATACAAAATGGAATATTTATTAAGCTTTAAAAAGGGAGATCCTGTCATTCATTAAAACATGTCTGAACCTGGTGGAAATTATGCTAAGTGAAATAGCCAGACATAGGAGGAAAAATATTGCATGATTTCAGTTGCACATGGTATCTTCTTTTATTAAGAAATTAAAATACAGAAACAGGGACAGAGTGAGGAGAAGGGGAATGGGAGACACAGATCAAAGATACTAACTAACAGATATATAGGACAGACATTTCCAAAGGTCTAATGTATATCACGAGGACTAAGTTAGTCATTGTATTTGGAATTTTTACCAGATGAGTAGATTTAAATTGTTCTTGCCATACACAAGAAATGGGTAACCATGTGAGAGGATGGATATGTTAATTCACGTCACTATAATAAGTAATTAGCTATATTTATCTTAAAACATCATGTTGTATACCTTTAACGTATGCAGTAAAATTTATTTTTAAAAAAATCAAACAAGAATTCTCATTTTTCCATGTGTACAGGTTGCAGGATCACATTGGTTATATGACCATGCCCATTTGAATCAAATGTATGATATGTCAAGATCATTATATTGTCATGGGCAACTAATAAAAAAATGAAACAAGAATATTTTAGCTCTCTTTGTTTTTCCTTACACAGGTGATTAAAGTGTACAGTGAAGATGAAACCAGCAGGGCTTTAGAGGTACCCAGTGACATAACTGCCCGAGATGTTTGCCAGCTGTTGATCCTGAAGAATCATTACATCGATGACCACAGTTGGACCCTTTTTGAACACCTGCCTCATATAGGTCTAGGTAAGTTTACAGAATCATAATCTTGCATCATTTTTTTGTGCCCTGTAGGTCATAAGGCAAAAATTTTCTTCAGATATATAAAAGCAAACAAAAGGGAATATGATCAGATCTTTTCTTTACTTTTTATTTTTCATTGTTGGTGATTGGTCATGAAAGTATCACCGAATGGAAACAAGAATATAAATATTATAAATTTAGCATTGTTCCTTGTTTAAATAATGATATACCAGAATTTTAGAACTAAACCATAGAGTTTAAATCTTCTTCTCCTCCTCCTCCTCCCCCTCCTCCCCCTCCTCCCCCCCCCTCCTCCTCCGTTGTATTATGTTGCCCAGGCTGATCTTGATCTCCTGAGCTCAAGGGATTCTCCTGCCTCAATTTCAAGAGTATGGGTGGTACACACGGCCATGCCCAGCTCTGAGTTCAAATTGAAGGAAAGATAAATTTCATAATGATCTTTGGAAACACAATGAAATTTTTTTTGAGAAGTTGACAAAACAGAATGTTATTTGGACTCTTTTTTATGTTGATGGCAGTAAGGGCAATTATAAGTATCCATAGTGGTTATCTCCCCCCCGCCCTATCATCCCTCCTTTCTTGTTTGTTTTACTCTTTTTGTGGTGCTGGGGATCAAACCCAGGGTCTACCAATGAGCTATAACCTCAATTCCCAATGGTCACTCTCTCTTTTTTGGGGGGTGGGGGGTACTGGGGATTGAACTCAGGTGCACTTAACCACATACCCCAGCCCTATTTTGTATTTTATTTAGAGACAACATCTCAATGAGTCACTTAGTGCCTTGCTTTTGATGAGGCTGACTTTGAACTCATGATCCTCCTCCCTCAGCCTCCCCAGCCAGTTGGATTTTAGGCGTGTGCCACCGTGCCCAGCTTGTCATTCTCTTAATAGTGATGTGCACCATAGATTTTACTTGAAAATTATAAAGAACTCCTTTACATTTTGAGGATATAAAGATTAACCTTTTCAATTTTTTAAAAATTTTATTTGTTCTTTTAAATTGTATATGACAGTAGAGTATTTTGTCCTATTTATACAAACATGGAGTATGTCTTATTCTGCTTCAGATGCTAGTCTTGTGGATGTACACAATGTTGATTAGCTATATTTATCTTAAAACATCATGTTTTGTTCATATATGTACATAAGGAAGTTGCGTCAGATATAAACCACTTGTCTTTCCTATTCCTATCCTCTCTCCCTTTCCTTCATTCCCCTTTGTCTAATCCACTGAACTTTTGTTTTTTAATTGGAAATGAGGTTTTGTATTATGAACCATGGTGAGTTTTTAAAGCTTCTTTTAATAAGTTATAAAGAATTCATTACTAAAGGGAGACAGGGTTTGACAATAGTTTTATTCCCTGTTTTTTATAGATATTGATTTTAAAAAACATGTTTATAGATAAGTAGATGAGAACGGAAGGAGTTTGTTATGACAATACTATTCAACTCTTTGAACTCTGTATTAGTTTCCTGTGGTTGCTATAACAAATTATCACAAACTTTGTTGCTTAAAATAACAGAAAATTTTCTTTTACACCACTAGAGATCTGAAATCAGTAACAGTGGGTTGAAATCAAGGTGTCAGCAGGCATGTACTCTGGGGAAGAGTATATTCTTTGCCTCTTGCAGATTCTGGAGGCTGTAAGCATTCCTTGGCTCATGGCTGCCTTACACTAATCTCTGTCTGCCTGCCTTCTCCTCTTCTATCTGCACCAAATATAATCCCTCTTTCTTATAAGGACCCTCCTAGATAGTCCAGGAAAATCTCATTTTGAAGATCCTTAGTTTGATCACATCGGGAGTCTTTTATTTTTTTTTTTCTTTTTCATAGAAGGTGACATTCACAGGAATTCAGATGGAGTTATTTTGGGGGGCTATTATTCATCCTATTACAAATTCCTTCTCATTATACATTAAAAACTTTAGTAATAAGTCATCAAAATCATTTTAAATAACTTATCATTGACAGCTCAATTACTTCCTTCAATTTGTTTGAAGAATTGTGAAAGAATTTTATAACTAGTCATTAGAGTCATTCACTTTCTCATCTGACTGCCAGTATACAAAATTGTCCCTTTGTTTGATAGGTTCCAGGGTTTACACCCCTGAGAAGTGTTTCCAAAGTAAGGTTCTAGTCAGATGAGAGATTTGCCATTCTCTGATGAAACAGAATTTTTAAAAATGATATTGGCAGAAGTGTGTTCTTAGGAGGATTCATATTGAAGAGACCCTTGTGAAGTGGATGTACCTCACGCTGCCTGCATTCCCTGAACCCTTAAAAAGTGTTGGTAGACTTCGGGTTTGATGACGGCTGTCCTGGGACATGTCAGAAACCCGAGGAGAGGACAGAGTGAAACCTGTGGAAAAGAAGCTAAAATAGTTCCACAGTCTCCATGGGGATTTGGAACCTGAGCACCTCTGCAGTTGACAGCTGATGAGTTGCAGCAGTGCCAGCTGATCGTGACAGCTGAGTGAGGATGGTTACATACCTGCCAGAGAGCCTGCGTTCTGAAGCAGTCTAGTCCGCAGTGGCCAGCTCAGCTTCCTGTCTCCTAGGACAGAGAAAGCTCACTGTGTATTTTCCTCATTGTCCTTTCTGACTAATTTAACTTCTCTTTGTGATAATCAATCTCACAAACTATGATGCTCTCAAAAGATATCTGCCATATCCCAAATTATTTAATTGACTTATACTGATAAGAATATAGCTTTTATTTAGCATCACATATAGCCATAGTATCTCATCCTCTTTTCTTTGGAGGGGACTTTAAAATTATTCTTTTGGTTATAATCACTACAATTTATCCCTAGCAAATAGCTTTGAAGTTCAGTAACATAGATCTGCTCTGCAAATTGAGTAGCAGTTTTCACTGAGAACACTGAAAATTATTTATACCAAAGAATGAAATGTACAAGTCTTTTATTGGAAAAGTTTAAAATGGAACATTGCAAAATTAATTTGAGCAACATACTAAATTTAAACATATAACAATATCAATGTATTTTTACATTACTATGTTTTCTAGAAGTTGCTGAAATAAAATCAAAGATTTGAGCATAGTATCTCCTGGTGTTACCAAAAGTTTGGTGACCAGCTAGTTAGCTCTACATGTTGTTCAGGAGACATCCTTGACCTCTTTTGGACTAGAGTGATAAGTTTTCCATTGATAAAATTTATGATGCTGGAGATCAAACCCAAGGCCTTGTGCAAAACAGAGAAGTACTCTACCTCTGGCTACACCCTCAACCCTAAAAAATATTTTCAAATACAAAAATAAATCAGTTCACTGTAAATAACTGAGAAATAAACAGTAATCTTAAGAATTAAACATAATTATCCATAATTTCACAACACTGAAATAACTTCTGTTAGCATTAAAAATGTCTTTAAATAGTTTTCCTATTTTAACAAACTCTCCTTTTGTTCTCACTTTTGTAGACTGCTTTCTTTTTTAATTTTTTGTGCATAAAAAAACCCTTGAGTGTTCTTCCCCCCCATTTCACTTTATAGATTCCACATAATGTAGGAACATAGGAACTTCCCCAGCTTCCCTTGGCTGTCTTCCCTAAACAGTTTAGCAAATATTTACATACAGGTTTATACTGACTTTTGTATAGTTTTGTAGATCCTGGAGACACAGTATGTAGTAGGGAAAGAAGGATAAGAACGTTAATATTTGTTATCTCTTAGGTGTCGATAAACTCCAGGGAAGGAAGATTGGGTGAAGGACAGCAGGTGGAGGTGGGTGGGAGAGATGTGCTTTAAATAGAGGCACGGGAAGACCTCCCTGAGAAGGTGGTGCTTGAGTGCAGACCTGAAGCACACAGCAAGCAGGCCAGAGGGAGAATGTTGTGGATCCAGGAGATGGGAAATGGAAAGGGCCCAAAGTGGCAATGTGCTTGTATGCAGGAAGCAGCCCAGAGGCTAGTGTGCCTTGAGTAGTGTCACTAAAGTGGAATGTAATGGCAGAACACAGCACAGAGCCACCAGAGGACCAGATCCTATAGGGCCTCATAGGCATGGAGTAGTCCTGGATTTTATCCTGAGAAAGACAGAGAGAAAGCAATTAGGGGTGTCTGAGCCCAGAGAGCAATATGATCTGATTTAATTTAAATATATACTTCTGGGCTGGAAATGTAGCTTAGTGACAGAACACTTGCCTAGCATGTGTGAGACTCTGGGCTGGATCCACAAAAGAGGCCAGAATTAAAGTTTTGACCCTTGGAGGATAAGCAACTTTGCTTTGCTTTTACAAGCAAACTGCCTGTGGCTTATGGAAATTATCCCTGCCTCTCTTTCTCATTTGTGCTAGTTGTGCATGACCCATTGTGCCCCATTTACATGTATTCTGCATATTTATGAAATTTAGTGGTTTTGAGAGATCTTGAGACCTTATAGGGAAGAACATTTAGATTTTCAGAATAGAAGAGAGTTGAGGGTTTTTCTCTTGCTCCAGTTGGTCAAAGCTCATGTTCCTAGGATTATGTGGTGGGTTTGTTTCTGTCTCATTCTACATCTCTGTCACTCATGCATACTGTAATCTAAATCTTGAATTCAAAGAACATTTTCACATAGCCTTTCTTTCCAAGGTGGTACTGAAGTTACTAAGATCAAACTGAGCCAATCTGGTGCACTTTATAAAAAGGCTGATAACTTATTTTTATCTGAACAACACAAGAAATCATGTTGGAAATAGCCTGCTCTTGAATTTGTATAACTTAGTAGTAATATTATGTTTGGAACTTTGAATTTATTAGCGACGTGTCATATCTTCTGATCATAATTATTAATATATGCTGCTGAGAATTTTTTTGAGCTAGTGCTCAGAATCCAGAGCCTCATGTATGCTGAACTCACACTGTGCCATTGAGTATCCACTCAGCCTGATTTTGAGAATTTTAATAGGCAGAATAAATCATTGAAAGCAACTAAATACCCAAATTTTGTTCTCTGAATTGCCTAATTTGAGTGCATGTTA